CCCCATAGTACAATGAGAAAGGGTTAGAACATCTGACTATGTTTTTTTATGCTTGACCGAGTTATTCTATTCTGGTGACAACCGTCACCTTTATTTTCTGTACTGGTGTCACTGGGTGAAGGATAATCTAGCCAATGGAGTCACAGATAAAAAAAAAAACCTGTTACAACAAAACTAAGAAAAAGTTAATACATTTTAAAACAACCCCTCACTGACCTCTGTAGCTGCAGGTACTGTTCAGTAACTCATCCTCAAAATCTGCAGCAGAAGCTTCTACGTTTTCCTTTCCCTTTCACCCTGTTAATGCAATGCACCAGACTGCAACAGTTATCGGAACCTTAGAGTTTATGTACTGCCTTTTAAGAAGAAGTATTTCTTCCGGCTCCTCAATGTCTTTCTCTCCTCCTTCATGCTATTCTCCATTGCTTCCCCTTCTATTCTATTGGACAAGTGGGCATGGTTAGCTCCCGTTCACCCCTCTATCTCCTGAGCTCTCTGTCCTGTGTTCTTTGCCTTTGTCATTTAACATTTCCCTTCTCTGCTTTACCAAAAATGAGAGGTTGTCTGTGGTTGATGCCAGCAATGATCTCTGATCTGAGACGAGCTTGGTTCACTCTTACATGGGAGCTCTAGCTACTTTTTGTTTGCCATGTTTTCAATGTTATAATTTAAGATCCAATGTGATATATACTATTACTTTAATAAGTACAATTGTTATTCTGATTATTTGCTGGGTGTACCACTTTTTTGTATGACTGACTTGCCACTGTGAACCTTTGTTACAAAAATATAATATGAAATAAATGTAAAAAAAATTAACATGTATTTCAACGTTCATAGCTTGGCCACAGCTCTACTTTAAAGGAGAACTATGGGGTCAGTGTTTTTCCCCATAGTTCTCCTAAGGATCACAGGAGGACATATACTAGCGTCCTCCCGTGACCCAAAGCTCAGTATATCGCAAGCTACAGTTCGCGGTATACTGAGACCGCCGCAGCCGGATCCTGACATTACTGTCAAGATCCACCCTGCTGCGTGAGTGACAGCTGGCTCTCTGCAGGGAGATGATCGAGAAGTGAGCGAGCGCCGGTATGTTTTCGCTCACTTCACGATCTACTGAGCCGACCTGTGACAGTTTCATTGTCACACGTTGGCTCGAACTATGAGGTGGAGTGAAATTCACTCACCTCATAGTTCTCCTTTAGGCAAGCTATGATGGTCTGAACTACAACTAAACAATATTGTATCATTGTGTACGTTTGTGAGTACACGTGAGGAGGAAAAGGTAAAGGTAGGAAGGATACCAAATACTTTATGTGTACATGAATTTAACCATCAATAAAGGAAACGATGATTGCCTTTCAAAACTCTGGATTAATGGGATTACTGTCAGATAATCTCACGGCTGAATGTGCAGAAATGACATAAAAACATATGTTAGGCTCGGCATGCCAACACTAGTACAGGAAAGAGCCTTCCTATAAAATTCAGGGCACGGTGGGGCAGAGGAAGGCTTCCTGCCAGCCCAGCAGATGCCAGTTTGATAATAATAGGAGTAATTCCAAATGATGTCATATCTTTCTGAATGGGAATTTTAGCATTTTGGATCACAATAAGGGCACATACACATAAGGTTCATTCAAGTCTTCTTGAAACCCTTAATTGCTTCCACTAAACAAGCTTTAAGCAGCATTTGGGAGGCTCTTTTCAACCTTAAACACAGCTTTCGATTTGATTGAAAATATGGTTAGAATAAATCAATCAAATTTATCTATCTATCTATCTACAGTTTATATAAAAACAAACCTATCTATATAGTTACCTTCCCGAAACTTCCTGCACAACATGGAGTTCTGCACTTTTAGAATCTAATAAGATTTTATGACATGATACAGTGCTGTCAATACTTTTTAGGCTGGGAAGGTGTTCAAATAGACTAAAGCAAACCTGTGCGTTGCCCAAGGTGTTTTCTTTCACCCCCCTTCTGGTGTGCTCAGCTGCCCCACATGAAGGAAATACCCTGGAAATGGAAGAGCATGCCAATCACTTCCCTTCCTTTCATGTGACAGTTCTGGTACTTGGCTGAGAAGACAGTCCTTAGGCCTGTGTAAGCACAGACTAGAGTCACTCAGGGCTTACACAGACCTTCCATTCTTCGCTCAGGGAGGCTGACTGGAGCGGCAAGAGATTGAAGAAAGGGTAAATATATGTTACTGGGGAAGGGTACATTAAACCAAATGTGTTCTTTTTCCCTGCATGGGCAAATCATAGGTGTGCTTTAAAGAAGAACTCTGTAAATGTAAATAAAACAAAACAAACAAACAAAAAACTTTCCCTTGTAGTGGGGCTACACTTGCACTGCAAGGGTTAAGTGCTCATTTTTGTCTAAAGGATTCTAACAAATAAGATATACTCTCCTGATCCTCAGTCCTGCAGCGGTCAGCACTCACCTCTCTCCCCTTCCTCTCCGGCTATGGAACTTCCCCTTGGCATCCTCACATCTAATGCAAGTCAATAGACCTGCATAAGAAGTGATGAAGTCAGCGGTCCTTAGACCACTAAAGCCTGGGGGAGAAGAGGCTGCAGGGACTGGTCTAGCAGGGACTGAGGATCAGGTAAGCAAATCTGCTTTATTTGAGCCCCCTTGACTAAATGAGCATATAACTATTGCGGGGCAGGGGTAGCCACACTATAAGGGTAGGTTTTTGTTTTTAACATTCCCGGAGTTCATCTTTTTCAATATTCAAATAAGTGTACAGCTGACACAGGAAGCTGCAATAGCAAACAGTGATGTCACCATCCTGGCTATGTTGTGTGGCTGGTGTACATGAATAGCAACATTGGCTGAAGAGGATTACACACATTTTAGAACGTAAAGCAGTTTAGCAATATCAATTTAAAGTGTATTTCCACTTTTGAAGCCAAATTTGGATAACACCTATTTTACATTTGTCATATGTTCCCATTCACATAGCATAAGCTTAAAAAAGCTTTAGAAAATGTATCCTGCAATTTACATTGCTTTTTGCTTGTTAAAACTACTTTTCTTCTCCTTCTTTGTAATGTTAGGAGGGGCTGTAAGGGTTTCAACCCCGTTTGTACTGTGCTGGCTGACTTCATTCTAATTTGTAGATTTGAATACGGTCTGTCCTAATACAGGGTTAAAGGATTCAAAGCCTGGTTCCTGCATTGTATGTTAATGAGAAACACATCTCACACAATCCTGTCATTAAGAACAGATTACTCCATCAACGCTTACAGGCATTGACGGATGAATCTGCTGCTGCCTGCATTGTATTCAAAATACATAGTAAAGACCAAGGTCCATCCAGTTCTGTGTGTCTGTGTGTTTAATACTTCCCATATCCTTGTATATTTAGTGTCTGAAGAACTCATCTAGAAGTTTCTTGAACTTATCTACACGATCAGTGGATACCACTGCCTGTGGATAGGAATTCCATATTTTTACTACTTGCACAGTAAAAAAACAAAAACCCTTGCGTGTTCTAAGATTGCACCCCCTCTCTTCTAACCTCTTGTTGTGTCCGCATGTTCTGAATATTGTTCTCGGTGAAATCAACCTGTTTCGAATATTGGTGTCCCCGTTGATGATATATAAAACTGCAATAAGGTCCCCTCTTAATCGCCTCCTTTCTAAGAATATGTTTTATTGTTGAAGGCGGTCTTCATAGCTCAGGCCTTCTATCCCTTTCATTCTTCTCAGGCATCCTTCCTAAGAGTTGGCGACCAAAATTGCACCACATACTCAAAATCAGGCCGAACCAGTGATATACAGGTGAAACTCGAATAATTAGAATATCGTGCAAAAGTAATTGCAGTAATTGCTGCAAAAGGGGCCCAAACCAAGTACTGAGTACATATGCATGCTTGTACTTTTCAGAGGTCCGATATTGTTCTATGTACAATCCTTGTTTTATTGATTGCATGTAATAATCTACTTTTTTGAGGTTGTGGATTTGGGGTTCTTGGGGTTTTCATGAGCTGTAAGCCATAATCATCACAATTATGACAAATCACGGCTTGAATTATCTTGCTTTGCATGTAATGAGTCTATCTCATATATTAGTTTCACCTTTTAAGTTGCATTAGTGAAATAAATGAACTTTGCACCATATTCTAATTATTCGAGTTTCACCTGTACAAGTGGAAGTATTATTCTCTTAGCCCTTGCTACAATCCCTTTTAATGCAGGACCGTATCAGGTTTGCTGTGCTGGCCGCTGCTTGGCATTGCAGAATCTGTGATCTATGAGCCCCCCCAGGTCCCTTTCCATGTCCGTCTTCCCTAATGCAGCCCCCCCTCCCCCCCAGATAGTAGTTTGCGCACTCGTTCCTTGCACCTGTGTGCATAACCTTACATTTTTCAACATTAACTCGCATATGCCAATGTGTAGCCCATGCTTCGATTTTATCCAGGTCTTGTTGAACTGCACATATCTCCTGTTTACAATTTACTGCCCTACAGTTTTGTATCATCCACAAAAATGGAAATCAAACTATCTATCCCAAGCTCTGTGTCGTTGATGAAATTGGTCCCAGGACCAACCCCTGGAGCACCCCACTCACAACTTTAGCCCAATTAGAGAATGACCCATTTATTACTACCTTCTGGGTCCATTTTTGCAGCCAGTTTTCCACCCATGTACATACAATTTCCTCCAAACAGATAGACCAAAGTTTGTGAATGAAATGTTTGTGAGGTACTGTATATTCCTCTGTCTAAATTAGTACTGACCTCCTCGTAAAATGTTCATAGATTGGTCCGACAAGAATGGTCCTTCATGAAGACATGTTGGTTTCTACTTACGATACCGGTTTCATTAACAAATTCCTGCATGTAGCCCCTTATCATGCCTTTGAATATTTTGCACACTATTGACATTAACCTGACTGGCCTATAGTTACCCGGTGTACTCCATTTCCCCCTTTTGTATATTGGTACCACATATGCTCTCCACCAATCATCCGCTACCATACCAGTCATAACGGTGTCCATAAAGATTATGTAGAGTGGTCTGCCTATGACCTTGTATGGTCTAGTTTCTTGAGTACCCGTCAGGTCTTGGGGATTTGTATACATTTAATCTTTCTAGCCTCTGTACTACTCTGCTCTCTGACAGCCACTGAGATATGTTAAAACTTTTATTAGTGTTGCTTCAGCTGCTGCCCTGGTTGTTACCAATGTACGCCTCATCTGTAAAAACAGATTGGCTGCATTCGGCCGAGAATTTTCCAATGGCTCCTTTGATCAGCTGATCAAGCGATGCCAGGTGGAAGGGTGCCAGCAGCGACACCCATGGTACAAATTTCCGCCAGTTCATCAGGAACCGGCCGAAATTCGAACCATGTGTACCTGACTTAAGGCCCGGTTCCCACCTGGGCGTTTTTCCGCGCGTTCGTACCTCGCGGAAAAACGCTCAAACAGGGAAATGCCATTATTTTCAATGTGCATGGTTCCCATCCGGGCGTTTTTCCGCGAGTACGAACGTGCGGGAAACCGCCCTACGCCCAAAGAAGTACATGTACTTCTTTGGGGCGTTTTGGTCGGGCGTTTCCATTGGGATACAGCCAAGTAGCCCTCGGAAACACGCGTTTGTCGCGGTAAAAACGCGCATATTCGATACGCCTAGGTGTGAACCCAGCCTAAGTCTTTCCATAAGGGCAGGTCATTGTGAAGGTGCTCAGAAAAACATTTTCTCTGCTGCAACAAAACTTCTAAAAGGGTAATAAATATTCTTTTAAATAATTTGTTGATATGCTGCGTGAATGGGAATACCTAACAAAACATTTAGAGGGGTTTTCATAAATTTGACTGCAAAAGTGGAAATATGCTTTAAGTGTAATCAGTTCTTGAGTTTGAGTTACCATGTGATAATCAGCAAATGTAAAAAACTTTCCCCGGTTTAATTCACACAATAAATAGTAGAAAAAAAGATAAACACAAGTTTACTTTATTGAAACAGGAAATGCTGGGTGTTACCATAGGAGGACACTGGTTTATAGTGAAGGCGGACATTCTGTTTACTGAACCAATATACATAACAACCGCCAATGTATTCAGTAGGATTTAAAAACGTGATCTAAGCAAACAGTAAGTCTGCAATGTTACTGGTACAATGATTCATTTTGAATAAAGTTTAGTCAACAAAATGGCTTACCCCATGTCTAGACAAACTGTACACCAGGGGTAGGCAACGTCGGCACCCAAGGTGTTGTGGAACTACAAATCAAGATTGACAGCTACAGGCATGATGAGATTTGTAGTTTCACCACAGCTCTAGTGCTGAGGTTGCCTACCCCTGATGAACACGATAATTCACCTATGTGGTAATACATCATTGCCCTCTTGTGGTCATAAGACAGACCTACACTTCATAGGCTTCTGTATTACATATACTACAAGAGGAAGGAGATTTATAAGGAAGCCTGAACTGAAGTACGAAGGCTGCCATTAATGACCTTGATCCAGAAATTTTCACTGCCTGGCTGTCCAATAACTTTGGAGTCACTGACTCAGATAAAGCAAGCAGAATAGTCCAAGCAAGCAGAATAGTCCAAGTAAAATGAAGAATTCCTGAATCCCATATTTAGTTCAGTTGAATTGGTTCAATATGACAGCCAGGGATTTGGTCATTTATAATGACAGGTCAGCATTGTTACTTCCATAATTCCTCAGTAGAGGCTTCCTTTCATTTCACACAGTGATTTAACCTGTTAATGAGAATTACCTAATCTGCAACCCGCTGTAATCGACTGGCAGCAAAAGCGATGAATAGCAACAACTGTGTATAGGAAGACTAAAATCTCCTGTGTAGTTTAGGTCTTAGACCGGTAACACTGTGCCCCAGAATTCCGTATGGCCATTCGATGCCTCGTCAGTATCCTTCGTCTGACCAGGTGACTTCATAGTCTGGGTATTTAGTCTTGATCAGCCCCATAGTAACAGAGTGTTTGGCCCGACCAAAACCCTACAAAAGATGAGAGAATGTGCGGTTAGTGTTTTATGAACTCCTTTTACTAATCAACCAGTAGATAGGCTATCCAGAGGCTAGAATTGATTTTCTTAGGTGTACTTCTGTAAAATTTCTTCTGCATCAGTTACTGCAGGCTAAATACAACATTTTACGTTATATCAGTCTGGCCCAGAAGCACTTTGCAAATCCTGCTGAATTTATCTGGAATTGATTTTACGCAACTCATATGAAAGTCAGATTGAGCAAATTTACTGAATTTAGAACAGGTGCAATTGTATGGAATTGGTGCACACACTGACTTCAGTAGTTGCCTTGCGTAAATGAGCAATTCATATGACCCTGTAATTAAAGTGACACTGAACTCAGGAGTTGCATCTTAAAAATACATTCAAGTACCTTAGAGAGTAGAGAGGCTTTCGAAAAATACAGACCGCTCTCTTGTTATATATAAAAATACAAATTGATTAACTGCCTCCGGGCCGGCCGTAGTAGAAAAACGGCCGGCCCGGAGCTCTCTAGATCTGAGTGGGCGTCTTTAGACGTCCGCTCAGACACGCACCCTCGCGCTCGGTGCGTGCGAAAAGGTAACAGGTAGCGATGCCTGTTACCATACAAGCGATCCGCCGGCTTTAGAGCCGGCGGATCGCGTGTATGGGGTGCCGATCGGTGTCGTATATTACATCACTTCCGCATTCTCGTGTCACTCTCCAGCTTCAGAAGCTGCAAAGAAGCTGATGGAGCAGATCTGTGCTTCATCAGCTTCTTTTGGGGGCTCCTAGGTGACATTTGGGGTCTTCAGCTTCTTTGCAGCTTCTAAAGCTGGAGAGTGACAAGAATGCGGAAGTGATGTATTATACAACACTTCCGCATTCTTGCAGAGGAGAGGGGACCGGAGGGAGCTCGTGTACCGAGCTCCTTCTGATCCCCTGTGACACAGCCGACATGCTGATCCCCGGCTCGCACCGGGGCACAGCGGAGCCCGGG